CTTTTCAAGATTAAATTTAAAAATTTTTAAATTTTTTTGAGCTCTTTCGGAATGTCTGATGAAAGGATAAAACTGTAAATAAATATTTTAACCTGTTAGTCAAGCTATTTTAGTTGAAAAGGTTGTTAGAATGTCTGAATTGACTTTTCATACTAGCCCATTCGGTTACAGAAAGTTTCCTTTTATTTGATATATCGTAGTTATAAAAATGATCGGAGTTACAATGTCATGAGATAAAGTTAGCAGAGAGCTGTCAAAGACTGATGAGCAATAGAGAAGATCTTGATAACCTTAACTCCATCTAGGACTACCTGAAAAAAGGGCAGTCAATTAAATTGCGGGCCCTAAAGTTAGATAAACTCTATCTCTAGCTTTTCTAATATTTTGCAATAAAAAGAACTAATTAGTTTGTTTTCAGACTTATATTTGGTTTAAGGGGTAGTTCTCTGCTCAAGTCGCACCAGTTTTACTAAAAGAAACGTTGGGGTCGGTTGTTAGATCCCTTTGTTTCAGTTGTTAGTAAAATTATAAGTCTCAGTTAAATTCTATCATAGATCAAAGTCGATCTCGTCCTAGAATTAAGGGATAGTAATAAAAACAGATAAATAAAAAAGGATGATCAAATAAGTTTAACTGAAATATAAATGAAGGAACAACTGCCTTGAATACCAAAATAGATTTGGGGTAGCTAGGTTAAGTTATATTAATTTAAAATGAAGGAAAACATTAGAATCTTACCTCTATCAATTCTGGAAAATGGTTTTCTTTTCAAAAGTATTTCTTAATAGAAAAAAATTTGTGATAAACAAAAAAAAAGAAAAAATTTCTACCCAACTGAGCGAGTGTAAAAAAATAAAAATTCTGAAGATCCAGGTTGGTTTGTTTCTCAGCTCTTTGGTTTAGACAACTTTGCACCTGCAGTATAGACTTCGAACTTCATTTTCCCCTTTTTCTTCATACTCTCGATGAAATTGACATTTGCAACTTAATGACTTTTTATTATAAGATAATATAAGAAATCGAAAAATAAAAAGATCAGGGCCATTTACCAGTTGTTTTCAATAACCAGGCTAAAGGCAGCAAAAAAAGTGAGTCCGATCTCAAATCGGAGAAGTATTTTAATTGTTAGAAAACGAAGTTTAACCATAACTTAGTAATTGCAATACTACAATTGTCAACATTAGGAAAACCAAGACTGTCAGTGGCAGTTATCACACAGATTAACTGATTCTGGCAATTTTTGCAATGTGAATATTTGTTAGAATTTCGTACAGATTTTTATTAAGAAACAGAACCGTTTTGTATATGGCTAGAAGATGTCAATTTAAAAAACTCAATGATTGAAAATGTGACCTTTTTTCGACAGATATAGGTTAACCTTAGCATATACAAACAAAAACACTGTTTGTCGTAATACAAAAACGCTTGCTTACGCTTTTTTGAATTGTTGAAAGAAAAACTCAGCCTGGACTAGGTACAAACTCGAAACATCAAATATTACGTCAAATTTATTATTTGTGCGCAGAACTGAGTTTGCAATCAGAAAGCGCAAAAAAACTTTACATCGATTATATATTTTTTTCTATGAAAAAAGTATATCATACAATTTTTATGTATGCAGTGATAAACAATTTTTGTTTTCAAACTTTGTTTGGTTGCGAATATTGCTCTCATGTAAAAAAAAACTAGCAAAAGTTCGTTTTATTTGACTCTTAGACCAATTTAGTATAATTTTTAAAGAAATGTCGATTGAAAAACTACTTTTCATAAAATTTCTTTCGATGCAATCATTTGATAAGCATTTGTGATAGACTCCATGAAATTGTATGATATGCATTTTTTGTATAGACGTCAATCCGGGAGTAAATCGTAAATCCACGATCGGCTAAAAACACAAAGCAATAACAAAAATTGAACTCACAAAAGATTTTTATCTAACAGTAAAAATGGAGAAATCAAAAATAATATTAAAAAAACACAAAAAAAAAGAAAAACATAATGAGACTAACTCAACCAGACCAGTAAAAGTCGGTATAAAATGCCAAATTGGCAAACATCAATCGAATATCTCCCACAAAAATCAAGAAAAACAATAAAGACAACTAGGTTTTTCAAAAATCAAAATAAATTAAAATCTAGTTGAACAATCCGCTCCATATAAAACTTTTTTGCTATATTCAAGAATGTATTCTAAGACTAAATTGATCGTAGAAAGATAACAAGACTGCTGGTATCAGGGCAAAATTTTGAGTTTTCCGACTGCCCTTTAAGGTTTATGGATCAGTAATAACCTTAAAAAAACTAAATGTAAAATAAATTACTTTTTTTTAAATTTGAAATTTTTATGAAAACCATCACCCCTTACGACATATAAAGTACAAAAGGATCGATTTCTCTCCTTGTAACAAATCAATTATGGCAAATAAGCTTCTCTTAACCAATTTGGAACAATTTCTAAGACGGATTAAATCTCCGCTTACACGTTAATAGCTCGAAATATATCGCGCGTTAGTTGTCCCAAATTGGCTTAAATGGCGATCTTTAAACCCCCATAACTTTACAAAAAAATGATCACAGGTGAAATATCTTTTCAAATTTAAGCTCAGAACAACAATACCTTTTGAATGATATAAAAAATGTCCGTCAAAAATAGCTAGTTAAAAAGTGAAATTTGTCTGAAGAAAAATAACCCCACCCCGAGCACAATTATTCCGTTACTTTCATATCGAAAGTCGGAACAATTAAGGCAATTACACCAAATTCAATATTCAAAATAAGAGGTTTAAACGGTCAGTAGGTTTACAAACATCCCTCGATTTCTCAACACAAATAATCTCAACGCGTAAAAAAATAATTGACAAAAAATCACTTTAGGATTTTCTAAATTTTTTTAATCTCAAAAAAAAATTGAAAATTTTATGTAAAAAAAGAATAAAACTTTTCAAAATTAATGCAAACTAACGACTTGATTTTAGACAAAAAACACTTGTAACATGACCATTACATGTTAAGTGAAAGAACATAACACAAAACTACAAGAAAGACAAAAAGTTTAACGATGACTCAACTGCACAGTTAGGGAAAACAGAAGACAGACAAAAAACATCCGCTTCTTCAAAGAAACAACCAGATCTAGCTTTCAGAAATCAGAATTTACAATGAAAGCACAGGACGCAAAAAAATTAAAGCAAAAATGATATATGTTTTTCCTTAATGAAATCATTGGATAAAATTTATAAACATCTGAAAGAGAGATAAACAGAACAATGAAAAATCAGTATTTAGGAACGAAGAAAGATAGAGTGCCCTTTCTGTAGAGAAAATGAAAATGAATAAGAAAAAAAACATATGGATGAGAATGTGAAAAATTTAATATAAAATGATAAATTTTTAGATAAGCAAAACAATTTATCAAAAAAAAAGATCATCAGATATTGATTCACTAAAACACTAAAACGTCATTTATATTTCAAGAGTAGAAAAAAGAACGCCAAGAATCAACAGCTGAGTGCTGAAATGTATCAGTAGTAGGGAGTTTTGCCCTTTTGTTATGATAAAAACTGATATTTGTAATCAAGGCACGTAGGCCTGCTTCTTAGTATGCAGTTCTTCAGTAAAAGTCTTGCCAGAAGAATTGAAAAGTCAATCTTGAAACAATCGAGAAGTAAAAATGAAAAAAATATATCTTTCGGTTGTTGAACAAACAGCATAAAAATTTCCAATCAAAAAGTAATTTTTATGATTCAAATTGTATCATTTTCTATTTTTGTTGTGATGAAAAAATCTGCACAAAAATCTGAACAAACAATTTCATTGTAGTAATAATAAATTTTCACGGATTCAAAAAACATACCGCCTCATTTCGAACCTACTCGCTCGCTTTTTTTGCTCGAACTTAGACTTATTGTTCCGACTCTCGATACGAAAGTAACGGAATATTTGTGCTCGGGGTGGGTTTTTTTTCTTCAGACAAATTTCGACTTTTTAACTAGCCATTTTTGACGTTATTGATTTATATCATTCGAAAGGTATTGTTGTCTTGAGCTCAACTGTGAAAAGATATTTCACCTGTGATCTTTTTTTGTAAAGTTATGGGGGTTTAAAGATTGCCATTTTGGCCAATTTGGGACAATTAACGCGCGATATATTTCGCGCTATTATCGCGTAAGCGGAGAGTTAATCCGTCTTAAAAATCGTTCCAAATTTGTTGGAAGAAGCTTGTTTGCCATAATTGATTTGTTACAAGAAGCAAAATCTATCATTTTGTACTTTATATGGCGTTTGGGGGGATGATTTTTATAAAAATTTTCAAATTTTTGAAAAAAGTTTTCATTTTTTTTTTACTTTTAACTTTTTAATGATATTACTGCTGCTTAAACCTTAATGGGCAGTCGGAACATTCAGGGCTTCGCCCTGATAAGAGCAGTCTTGTTTTAATTCGTTTTAATTCAGTGTTTTCTGACGCTGAAAACTCTTGGACAAATTTTAAATGTCGCTCAATCCATAACAAAACCTGGTTTTGCGTGACAACACACAAAACGGTGAAAAAAAGACATTATTTGAAAGAACAAACCTAAATATAAATATATTAATTAAATAAGTATAAAAAAATAACGGTGAAAAAAATCAAATGATTGTTTCTTGTAATTTGTTGCACAGTTATCTACATATTTCTAAATAAATTCTAGGCAAACTTGATAAAAAACTTCCGGTAATAGGAGTTGGAAATGTTTAACTTTTTGACTTTTTTTGGTAAGCTCTTGTGTCCTTTCTTTTGGTCAAATTTAATTTTTGATTGAGTAAATATAAGAAAAAACGTTTTTTTTTTCAAATATAATAGCTGGTTGGTTCAGTAATGCGCACCAATTGAAAATGTCAAATCTGAAGCATCCCTGCGACTGGGACATCGACAGGCTTTTTGTTTCCCTTTTGATCGCCCCTCGAGAAACTGTGTGAAACGAGAGACATAATACGAGAACAAAAACACCGCAAATGCTAACCTGTGTTAGAGCTTTGCTGCATGGCACGCAGATACCGTGACCACAGGGAAGCTCCTTCGCAATATCACCTGGGAAGTCTTGGCCGCATCTGCGACACTTGGGTAACGACTCAGTAGCATAGAAAGATGGATGAGAACTTGCCATTTGTCAGGGGCTCTTATGGCGTTTGTAGATATTGGTTCAGTCTCACAAGGAACCAGCTGAGGTAGTTGAACTAAAAATTGGTGATTTGATTATTCACTTATAATTATTACATTGTTGTTGAAGAAGAAGAATTCTATTGGAAAATTGTTTCTTTTTTAAAAATAAAACAATAATGACAAACTAAAAACACGAAAACTTAAATTTATGCAAAATATAGTAAACTATTTCTTACATATTCAAATAATTCGCTTAATTCCTGCCATAAATAATAACAACTAACAAGTTTGCTTAACTTCGCTCCCAATGCTCATTTTTACCGTCAGCCGCCAGTCTCAAAAGTTGGTTCATGGCTTTTCGAATCGCGACAAATTATAAATTGAAATCAATTCGTCTTAAAAAGATGCAACAAAACTGCTCATGATACCTGGTTCGATGCGCTCAGTTTAGGTTTTGACCTTCCCGACCAAACATTGGTATGATTCGACCATCTTGTCATACCGCTATGTATGAGCTGTTCTAGAATCCAAATGGATTGGCAAGATAAGTTATGATTTGTTAAGGTTCTACAAAAGGAAACTGAACACCATGCTGAAATCAAGACAAATGAGCAAGTTCTTTGGCTGTTTGTGGGCTTTCTGATGGAGATAAAAGTCTATCAACTTGATGTTGTCCTTTGTCTTTGATCGAATTGTTTCGAGAAACTTCACAATTTCCGGTGAAATTTTTTTTGAAACCCATTTCGCGGATCAAACTAATGATACTTGAATTATTGTTGTTGTTCCGGTGCCGCTATAGAAATTTTCTCTGAAGAGTCTTTACTGTTTATTGATATTGGCTTTCCCGGCGCCTTTGTTAGCGTTGCCTGATCTGTCCCTGTTGACTTCTTTGTCGGTTCTACTGCTGCTGGCTGATGAGGTGTCTTCTTCACGTCAACTCGTTTGAGGGAGGGTGCCGTATTCTCCAAAGCTGTCGAAGTTCAATCGTCGCTTGAAGAAGTTTCCGATTCGTTCGTATCTCTCCTATCTGTCGCTTTGAATGTAATTTCCATGCCTGTCTGGGGTTGGCTTTCCACACGTTTTTTTCCCACTTTTACCCTTTTTCGTACCATTTTTTTAGGTATTTTTTTGGATGTGTTCCTTAATGTTATTGACTACCTGTTTTTGGGTTCCTTTATATTTACAATTTAGGGCCTCCCATTCTTTAGCTAGTGATTGTCCTGATCTCACACTTGCACAGCTGTGAGTTCCGGATACTTTAGGGTCGCGTTTGATGGTTCCGGTAGATTCTTCATCGGGCGACTTTTGATTCTGGCTTAAGTTTTGGAATAGCATTGTAATCATTATTATCTCTGGCGTGAGTGAAGAATGCATCAGTGTCTTCCAATCTAAACCAGCGGGCTTGGCGTTTGCCCAGCTTAAGTTATTTGGTGAGCTGATTGTTGCTTTGTTTGATAATGGTGTGTTCGGTTTGCGGCCCTTGTGGGCATCAAATGACGAAAACTTTAAAATTCCGTAGGGAGTTATTCTTAATAATTTACGAATTCGGAAACATCAGATGCCAGTTTATGTGGGGAGTTATTTCAGTCTGTTTGCATGGTCCCTAACCAGCCTTTCAGTGTTTGTATTAGCCGCTCGACAACCCCTATGGATCTGTGGTTGTCTAACGGGGCAAAAAGGAGTTTTATGTTGTTTGATTTGCAAAAGACTTAGACTTTTTTGGCTCTTAAAGTTTCTGCTTGATCGCACCTTAGTTTTCTGGGGACTTCATCTTTTGATATGTACCTTTCCATAAAATTTTCAGCGATATCTGCTGTTGTGTTTAATATTAAATTTTGCTGTTGAGAATTTTGACTATTTGTCAACCGCAACTAAAATATACGAGTCCCTATTTAGTTCCTCGGGTAGGGTGCCAGCAAAATCTTGTTGTACCTCCTCATTTGGTTCATCAAATGGCTCTCTTTATTATGTTTGTAATTTTTGTATTGCAGGTTTTTGATTTATACCTTGTTTTGTGCAGTGTCGGCAATTTCGAGCTAACTGCACAGATGTTTGATGAATGTGGTGAAGTCAGATGTTCTCACACGGATCTAACATTGCCGCAGCTCCGAGATGCAGTTACTGAAAGCTGTCCAGGATGGTCTGACCTAGTTGTTGGGGTATGATGATGCGGTCATCTATCAGGAGGCAGTCATCTTTGACATGAAGTCGTTTTCTAACGTGGTACGAACAGTCTCCATATGCGCATTTCGGTGCCTCTCATTCTTGTTTTTGTACGAAGGTTACTAATGGTGTAATGTTCCGGTCCCTGTCTGTGGCTGCGGGTGTGAATTTTACGCCCGTCACCTGTTGTAGGTTCTTTCGGTATAGTGGTGTGTCTTTCTCTGCCTCTGTTGCTGTTCCTCGGTCCGCCGTGACTACCACGCCTGCCATTATTAGTTCGTGGCTGGCTTCGAGTTATTTTCCGGTCATCGTTGGTGGTGCTTCAGTCGGCGATGTTTCCTCTGAACATTTTGTTCTGTGTTGACCCTGCTTACGCTGTATTTGTACTGCTAGTTTTCTATTACTGTCAGCTCTGTTTGCACTTTTACATAGTTCTGTCGTTTTTGGCTTGAGTTTTTTTGCGGTTACTTTCTCCTCGCTGTTTCCCTTCTGGGAACTTGATGGGCAGTCTGCCAAAGCAATTTTCGGGAATCTTTGAGGTTTCTTGATTGGTATTAGCTCTCGTGCATTGTGGATGTTTATTGCGGGCTTGTTGTAGTTGAATTCGAGAATCACGTAGTCCAACGCTCGTAGGTTGTTGCCGTCGTCTTTCTGTGCCATCTTGGGTCTGAAAAGCTTTCCTCTCTGTCCGATTTCCCTCTCCAGACCAGCTCCGTGTTTCTCCCTCGTGGTTGCGTGTGTGGTTGTTTTGAGCTCCATCCCCCTCGGGATCTTGAACTATCGGTGGTGAATCCTCCCTTGGAACCTTTTTTTTGTTTCTCCATCTCTTTTTCTCTAAGTTGTGCTCCGTTGTATCAATGAAATGGCTATAATTTGGTTCTTTTGGATTTTTGGTCAGCTAATTTTAGGTCAAGTGACTAATTTTGTTTTGAGTCAGATGACTGTTTTTGATGTTCTTTGATTGTTTGAAATACACTTAAGATTTCAATTGTGCTTTAATTTCCTTTCTTTTACCGCGCGCTTTTTGATCAGCTGGTTTGGTGCTCGGTTTTGCTTGGCTAGTTTGTTAAGTAAGTTGTTTTCAATCAACTCAAGATTGAAATTGAACGAGTTAATTAACGCCACAACAAATTTCTCATCATATTCGCAGGCAGATAGCTCTTATCTTACCGGGTTTCTAGACCTATAATCTATTAGTCCAATTTTTGTTCCCGCCAGGCGTTTCATTTTAAAAGTAAAGGGGGTTAATCTGCTTTGGTTAGTCTTTGATTCTTCGCTGACGTTTAATGCGCTGATTAAAACTTGTTGGTCTGTGGTGACGGTGAACATTTTGCCGTTTAAGTAGTATTTGAAATGTTCGATCGCCTACATCAACCCTAGCAATTCTAGTTCATTCACGGAGTATTTTTGTTCTAGGGAACTCAGTTTTCTTGAGACATAAGCGCCTGCTACCCAGCTTTCATCTGTAAAACGCTCGAGTGCGGCTCCTACCTATAAAACAGATGCGTCGCACACCCTCTGGGTCTCTAAAATTTGGTCAAAATGTTTGTTTTCTGTTATTTCAGATATGAGTTTTAGAATGTCATGGAATGCGGCTGTGTGTCCTGCTTCCAGTCCAGAGGTTTGTATTTATCTGAGATTGTTAAAATTGGTTTAAGTGCTGATGCACTCTTTGCGATGTTTAGTATTCTTGTGAGGTGGTATATGGACCCCATGAAACTTTTCAGTAGTTTGAATATTTTTGGTTTTTGGGAGTTTTTGCATTGCGTCTGTTTTCCAAGTTGAAGGTTTTTGTGCCCTCGCCACTTGTGCTGTAACTCAACCATTCTAACTGTTCGAAAGCAAATTTGCATTTACCTAGTGACAATGTTAAGTTCGGTTGATCAGTTGTTTCAGTACTTTGTTTAATATATTTTTTTTGCGTTTCTTTTGATTCTTTCGTTACGAGTAAAATGTCATCAAGATACGCAAATGTGTTTTCGCAATCCGTAAGTGTATGATCTATAGCTCTTTAAAATTCGGCCGGCTCATCTGTTTAAAACCTTGTTTGAAACTGGT